TAGGACGACTGCTTGGCACTAAGGGGATGATAATATCAGGTATTCCGCGGCGAGCGTATACGACCGCTGACTTATTTTTGCCGATATGTATGCTAATAAAAAAATATAAATAAAATTAACCAGTGAGTCTAGAGTCTGATGCAAGAAGCTTCACTTTTTTGAAGTTGGCACCAGCGACTTTCACTACGACTTTCATGGCAACCTGTTAAGCTGAATGAGCGTCCACAAGCAGTGATAACCTCCAGGTGTCTCGACAGAGGAGAAGCCACTGCTAGTCTTACTTTTTCCGGCAGAGATCGGCTGTTCGCTCTGAATTCCTGCATGTGATTGATAGTTCCGGAAAGGAGGTCGTTGATATGTAAGAGGAACAGTGTCGGAGCCAAGACCGATCGCTGGGGAACACCCGTGTTGACGTTGTGGGATGAAGAGGAGAGCCCCTTACGTCGGAAATCTTGCGGCGTTAGAGAAAGACACGCAACTGCAAAGCTTCTCTGGGAGGCTATAGGATGGAAATTTGCATAAGAGGGCAGCGTGCCACAGCTGATCGAACGCTTTCGTGATATTAAGAGCAACGACATGAGCCTTCTCATAAGACTGGATGAGTTTACTCCACAGTTGCGTGACGTAAGCTAAGAGGTTCCCTGTGGATCGCTGGTGCCGGAAACCTAATCAAGCCGAGACTTTCGATGTAGTCCATAAGCTCGCGATTTACGAGTATACAGGGTGCGGCAGAGAGGATGGATGGTTTTAAAAAATTCATAAAATAGTTAATTTTTACTCGAAAACAAATTTATTGATGACTCTCTCCAACATGGCTCCCTCAACTTGGGCGACTTCCACGTGAATTTCGCCCTTCAATTGGTCCAGAGTTCGGGGCTTGTTCGCGTATACTCTAGCCTTGAGGTGTCCCCATAAAAAAATCGCATATGGATAAATCTGGGGACCGAGGAGGCCACTGAACATCGCCAAACCTGTAAATAAGGCGACCAGGGAAGAGAGGGCGAATAACGCCCATGGATGCTCGGGCTGTGTGGGCGGTCGCCCCATCCTGCTGGAACCACACACGTCGGATTGGAACACGTCGCCGTCGTAATTCAGAAGTTGGTGATCATGTCGACGTAACGCTCTGAGTTCACGGTAACATCACGACCATTACCGTCTGCGAAGAAGTAAGGGCCAATGATGCAAGTTTGCGATACAGGGCACCAAACCGTTACTTTTGGGCTGTGCAGCGGTCTTTCGTGTTCACTGTTGCGGATTTTAATTAGCCCAATAAGGACAATTCTGCTGGTTAACCATGCTGTTTAGGTGAAAGTGGGCTTCGTCACTCATAGGCGAAAACGCGGTGCTCCACCGTTCAAGGCTCCATAACGACAACTGGTAAAATAATGCTAGGATCTCACGAGTCAAACGGCACCCTCCCCACCACTCTCGTAGACGGAGGCGGAGAGTACTAGCCATCCCAAAAGTCTAAGCAAGAGGACTATTACATTTAATTCTTGGGTATTTATAGTCTATGTAAATACCCAGTCGCCTGACCTGAAGGAGAAATCTTAGCGTAATGTTTGACAGACTTGCAAAACGTTATGAGCTTTGGCAGGTATGAAACTATGTTGATATGAATGTTTGAAAAACCTACTAGTTGCAATTAAATTATTGTAATATTTGTTGGTAACACTTTAAGAGGTACTAGCTATAAAGAAAAAAAAAACATTTTGACAAAGCTTTTCAAAAATGGCCTTGATTCGCGTAAATCTTTTTTAAATCATTAAAGGTGATAACTGTCCATTCACCGTACATTTTTAGATGTCTCAATCTGTAAACAGTTATCTGGCCGATTTCAAAACGACCAGAAGTTCCCTATCAACGTATAATTTAAGACTTGGTGCGAATTCAAAGGTCCGGAAATCATTATGATCAAAATCTACAAGTTGCCTGATCATGTTAAATAAGTTCGGTCGGACAGTTTTCAAAAATACAATCACAAAGTTTTTATTCAATTTCACACTCCATACTGTCGATGAATATCTATCCCAGGGTTGTTCTTTTGTGATTGTTTTTGTGCAGTGTTTAATATTGATGTTTACTCTATTTATGATGCTCTAATGAATGTGCAACTTTTACAAATTATTTGAAATTGCATATTTTTGACTATATCGAATACTCTGTTTGGATGCTGATGGAGATAAAGGTATTTGTATTCTCGACCTTAGCGGTTAAAGTGTAAGCGCATCTCACCTACGAGGTGTCCGGTTAAATTGACCACCCTCTAAGTTCTTTATATGACCTTCAAGAAAAAAGTTTTACACAAAAGTAATAGGGTCAAATATAAAGTTGTATTTCTTAAATGGAACACCCTATACATTGAAATAAATAAAATGATAGTCCCTTTTTCTGATTCAAAATATATATGGTTTATCATACTTATTTTCATTAGTTTGGCCAAAATGTTTGTGTATCATTTACTCACGAGTTCGAACCAGTTTGCAATCTGGTATATGGCCGGAGTACATATAAATGAATAACAAACAAAATTCAAGTAATAAAAACAAGTTTAACAAACCATATATCGCACCCTTGCTGCAAAAGTGACTCAACTCTACACTCTAAATATTTTCTGTAAAAATACATTCGTTCTGATAAATAGTATAAGTCATAAACACGAAAATCCTTTTTCAAGTTATATCACTTTTGATGTTTGATTTGAACAAAAATCCTGGAATTATTTCCAAAACCGACAGTTTAGTTGAGAACTGAAAAGGAACAAAAGACTAGCGACACTTTTGTTGTTCGGTATTATTAAAAATAATAAGAAAGAGGTATGCGTATTTATTCATAGTTTTTACCTGAAAATAAATCGCCAGCATGATACTGTAAAAATATTATTTTCTTACACAAAACATCAAAAACACATTGATTTGGACTTAAATACTGAGCAGGTATTCCTACTTTTATTCAAGGAAAACAAACACAACATACAAAAGATACGGAACAATAAGAGGCTTGCATTTAAATTAAAATATTTTTCAGTCTTCATAACTTAAAAATTCCTTTACAAGATTAGAACTGAATTAGATCCTGAGTACATCTTTATAAAACATACATGAATTTGGCCCTAAATACTGAACAGGTACTCCTATTTTTATTCAAGGAAAACGAACACAAAATACAGAAAATCATAATAAGGAGCAAGGCTTGCATTTAAATTAAAATAATTTTCAGTCTCCCTAACTAATAATTCCTTTACAAGGTTTGAACTAAATTAAATCCTAAGTACATTCTTATAAAAAGAGTCGTAATATATATTTTTTTAATTGTACCTTTATCAGCTAGTTCCTGTAAGTTCTGTTTTTTAAGTCACTCAGTGGAAACTTATGAGAATAAGCTTGAACTAAGCTAACCGAGTCTGCGTTATGCTATTGGCATCTAGTGTTTTTCACATTATTCATATCGACTTTTCTGAATTCCACCTATTCATAGGACGTTTTATAGAAGAATGAATCCGGGTATCCGTACGGAGATATCCATACCGTTGCCTACATCAAGTAAAAAACAAAGCTAAAAAATGAACCTACATATGTATAATTTTCAAAAAGTTGAAAAGCATACGTAGTTAATTTGTTAGTGTGTCGTTAAATTTGTTACAACACAGGTGACATAAATCAAAACATATTACAACAAAAGTGACCTAAATCAAATTATATTTGAACATTTGTGTTACTTTAAGCAACTAAAGTGAAACAACTTTATATAGAACAAATTTTACTACAGATTTCTATACCCTTAACTGACTTAATTCAAAATATTAGAAGAACTATACTCACCGTTATTCATCAAATACGACACAAATCAAAATAACACGGTTTAAATGCATTCACGTAACACCTTTACTGTATTGAAGACAGGGTTCAACTGAAAATATGTATCTTGTTGTTGTACAAACGGAATCTGCAAAAGCGACACATTTGCCATCTAGCGGTCATAGGACAAAGTTAATTTATTACTCTTTTGCTGGAAGGTAAACCATTATTTTCACATGTGATTGCTAGTACCAACTCAAAATTCACACTTTTTGAGTTGTGTCACTTTTGTAGCAAGGGTGAGATATATTTGGAAGCAGAAAAACGGGACTATCACTTTCACTGAAAATATACAGGGTGTTCCATATAAAAAATACAACTTTATTTGATAGCACTTTTCTGAGACTCGGTATACAAAAAAATATTAAATGGAAAACTTCATATTAGATCTTATAACTTTTGCACACAACTTTTTCTTCTAGAAGGTCATATAACAAAGTTAGAGGTGGGTCAAATTATAGCCTAAAACAATGTACATTCAAACGTTTACGCCGTGATACCGTGATACAAGTCGCCCTTGCGCGAGGCACCTAGTTCCCGAAATAGTCACGTCACACTTTTTCAAGGTATTTGGTAACAGTCGTGATTCGTGATTTAGAAATATCAGTTCCTAAATCACAGCTCGAGAAATATCTGCCACCACGAGAAACACTGAAATTATAAGATCTGAAATTTGCTATCAGGGTCACAGAAACGCGAGGAGGTATCGAATCTCCAGTATGTCCTGATACAAAATTGGTGGGAAATTCAAATACCTCACATTGGCTCTGCGACCCTGATACATAATGAATAGAAACACAATCATGTACCTATCATAATTCCTTGTAAAACACTCAAATTGAATGAATTGAAATTTCACTTCAGGATCACTGATACGTGAGGATGCATCGAATCTCAAGTTGTTCCCGCTACAAAATTGACGAGAAATTCAAATTTATATCTTGTTGTTGGTACTGATATTTTCTATCAGGATACTTAAATATTGTTTTGTTGACTTTTTAATTTTTTTAAAACGTTAAACTTCTAGTGTTACCTATTCATTGTCTGTACAATGATTGAAGATTTGATAAAATGAAACAGCACATCCCTTTTGACACGATTTATTCGATAAGTTATAAAATATTTAACAAATTATATGTTCAACAAAATAAATACAAAACAGAGAGAGTTAAGTCTATACAGCTTAAACATTATGTACAAACGTATTTATCCATAATGAAAATTACATTACAAATACAAGAAATATAATAGTTACACCCTGTTTAGTGTATGGCATTATTACAAGTGATGTCGATTACTAGTTACAAGTCTTGTGTTAACATTTATTTGAAACACGGTTAATATCATATACATGTATTTAATTCATATTTATTTGGAATGCAAAAATTAAATACGTCATGTACATAGTCTTTTTTAATAACATTTGAATATTATATCTGTAGTATTCTCCTAGAGTCATACAAATAACACATACGCGATGACAAAAATACACCCACTGTTGCAGAAATTACATTGGACTATTTGTATCAGGCTGGTTGATATTTTAAAGCGTTTGAGGATGTAATTAAACTTAATCATTTACAAGATTCAAAGTATATTTTGGGAGCTATTGGATAATATTTCCCTCATTTATAAAAAATGCCATAAGAGGTGTGGAATTATCGCAAAAGTAATGCAAAAATTTGCCATTAACTAGACAACGGAACATTTTCAGTGACTATTTCCCTCGTCTGAATTTCTACCAATCACAAACGCGCAATTTTGAATTACAAATGGTTTCTAGATGGAAAAATTGTGACAGCACCTGTCAGCAGTTTTTTCGACTTTACAAACTTGTCACCTGTTGTCACCAAAAATTACAATATCTTTGATAACAAGTAGTTATGGTCTCTTAGGACACCAGAAAACGACGCTGAACAATGTTTCTGATTCTATTGTCAATAAATTTTTTAAGCTATGTGTATGCAGAATAATCTGTTACTCATGAAATACTCTTGACAAATACCATTGGAGTATCTAATTTTTTTCGTGTGAAAAAATAGAAAAAATACAATGCAAGGTAATATTTTTTTTGACAAAAAACATTCGTGCAGGAGCAAAAATCCTCGTCTTCGACTTCGATTATTGTTGTCTCCAGCACTCATGCTTCTTGTTAAAATATTACTTGGCAACGTGTTTTTTTTTTTTTTTTTTTTTTTTTGGAAAAATTTGATGCCCTTATGATATTATTTATGAAAATTGCCCAGTAGGTATCGAAAATTTCCCTATAGGTCCGTATTATATAGGTCCGTTATGATTGATCAATTGTGTCATCTTGATATGCATAAATATAGGAAACTTGGGAAATATTTTACCAAATTATACTTGTGCATCAGAATAAACCTAGTAATTTTCCATTGAAGCATATTGTCAGTAAAAAACCACATCCGGTTATTTTCATATTTTATTGAAATGAATATGAAAATAAACTCGTGCAGTTTTTAGACAACACGCTTTCATGAAAGATTATCGGTAATTTTGATGCTCTTGTGTAATTACTTTCGAAAACATACATGTAAACAGGAACCACAACCGACATTGTGCATCGGGTTTCAGACTATATTAAAATTACTTACTGAAATCAGCACAAGACTAGGTTTGCTGTTTTATTGTAAATACGTCTCGTCTCAACCTAGTTTGCTCATAAGTCTTGCTCCAGAGAATTTCAATCAAATCAGATAGTTGTACACCGTAGATCGAAATTCAATACGGTTCAGTGGCATAGTGGCTATAAAATCCTGTTTACGACAATATTAATCATGAGTCGTATTTTTTTCGTTGCCCACACAGCGGCTGTTACATAAAATCCACAATCGACAGAAACATAAAATGATGGCGCTCGATGGTTTGATTTTGTCCCGACCATTAACGCTTCATCATAAAAGTTTTAATACCATTCGAATTAGTATTTTTAATCATATTCTTTAAGTTTCCACACAGGATAATCGATTTAAAGTTACAGTTACAAATTAGAAAGGATATGGTAAATTTAGGTAAAATACGTTCATCACTGCCTGTCAAAAAGTGATTGAAGTTCCTAGTGTCATGTATGAGACCGTAGCCAAACCAAACATTCCAGCTTCTTCAAAGTATATTTCTAAATTTATTTTTGTACGCTGCTGTCTCCTAGATGGCACTGGTATCTTTCAGATCCCTTTTACTTTGCACGTCTGGTGGCCAGGAAGTGTTATAATCGCGAAATATTTTGAAAAGGAGACATTATGTTTTTTGGATGTTATTTGGCATATACATCACGGAAAATCATATCACTCATATCCGTCGGTCTGTCTGTCGATATGTCTGCTAATCCTTGGTCTTGGAAATTACCGCCCGGATTTTGATGAAATTTTCACACAAGGTTACCACCATGCCAAGGAAACTTCGTGTTTTAACGTTTCAGAGTATACTAAAAAAATTTTAACAACTCTTTAGGGGTAAAAATTGGCCGATGGGGGTTGTTATGAGGGGTGTATTGCAATTTTTTGACAGTATATTTATAATCTTTTAACCCCAGTAATTCGACGCGCCTATTAAGACATATTTCACACGTATTACGCAGTATATTTACCCTTAAGACTGCTGGAAATTTAATATTTTGTATATAAAGTGAGCAATTATATTGCTCTCACGACCCAGGCGACGAATTTATCTCTACAGCTGAGAAAAGGTCAACGATGCCTCGACGACGTAACAATATTGTGACTACCAGAGCAATATATTTTATTGAATATAAATTATCAGATAGGGTGACAACATTGAATGAATAAATAACGAAATTAGCGCCATACCGGCCACCGTGGGGAGCCGGCACATAGATCGTATAAACGCTCCCGTATGCACTACTATATTCCTTATGCCTCAAGCTTCGCCCTTCTAGCAAAGTTGGGTATAGCCCTAAGTCTCAGCTTCTTAACATTCTGGAGATCCACAGTGATGGACCCCAGTATAGTCTGATTGTAGCAGCTCACAGTCTCACTGCGACACAGAGTATGTGCCGCGGACTCTTCCTCTATCCCGCAGCGCTCGCATATAGGATCCTCAGCCACCACCCCCATCACATACAGGTAGCGCGTCAATGTGCTATGGCCCGACAACAGTCCCACCAATAACTTGAGGTTGTATCTATCCAAAGATTAAGCAAAAGAGTCCATCCCTAACAGTGTGGCCCTACGATGAGTTCCCGTGCCTGATGGAGATGCTGCTTCATTTCTGAGAGTGTTGTCTAGCAATCCGCTTCTCCATTTTCATCCTGACTCTGTGCGCTCGCACCCCTAGGGCTGGCTCAGGACCAATAAGCTTGCTCGCTGATCCTGCTTTAACGGTATTGTACGGCACACTTTTCTCAATCGTCAGATCAATATTAGTCAAAGAATCACTTACTACATAAGCTGACTAACACTGTTTAAAAACAATATTGCAAAACTTATTGACAATAAGATCAGAAAAATTGTTTAGAGCCGTTTTCTGGTGTCCTAGGAGACCATAATTACTTGTTATCAAAGGTATTGTAATTTGTGGTAACAACAGCAGTCAAGTTTTGCCGCGGGTAAACTCGAAAAAACTGCTGACATCTAGAAACCATTTGTAATTCAAAATTGCGCGTTTGTGATTGGTAGAAATTAAGACGACGGAAATAGTTACCGATATTTAATCTACTCTACGGCCTTATGCTGGGGTACAATGATTTTTATATCCGGCAAACAATAAAGACACCAGAGCATACAAAATTGACTCATAATAATTTGTCCAAATTATTTGGTATTAAATACGACTGAACATCATACCAGTGTTTTCCAGAGAGCGAACTGTTCAATATAATGTCTGCCAACAAGAAATGTTTATTATTTACATTTACAAAAAATACAGACATACATGGTCTTTTGGTGCTCTTTATTGATTTACTCATTCAAAGCGATAAATATGGCACATTTACATCATTCTTGCCCAATTATCACATCCAAAATGTATGATATTTAAAATTGTAGGGGTCATGATTGAAACATACTGATATTAATATTTTTCTTTCATTACTGTAAAGTCAGTCAATTTTAACATCTAACCAAATTACAGCCTTTCCATAATTTGCATAACTTGGATGAAAAATCGGTTACAACAAATTTGATGCTTTTTGGATGTTTGCAGACTTTTCCCCTCAGCCTATGCCCGAATCAAAATAAAAAAACAGTATTATCTGGTACGATACGAGGGATGTCTTTTAAGTTTTGCATATGGAAATAAAACAGCATGGTAGGTAGTTTTAAATGACTTTATTGTTTTTCGAAGTATTCTCCAAGAACATTAATACACATCTGCATGCGCTCGAACCAATTTTCGAAGCACTTATTCCACTCGTTTGCTGGCAGATTCAAAACGGCATTTTTGAATGCGTCAACTGCTTCTTCTGGTGACGGGAACCTTTGACCACGCAGTGTGTTTTTAATTTTCGGGAAAGTAAAGAAATCGTTAGGACTTAGATCAGGACTATATGGAGGATGGTCCAATAATTCCACGTTTTCTTCCGTTAATTACTGGCTTGTTTTTTGGGCTGTGTGCGAGCTTGCATTGTCTTGGTGGAGGATGATTCTTCTTTAGGGGTTGATTTTTCGAAGCTCGGTGATGACTTTTGGCAAACAAATGGTGGTATACCAATCCGCAGTAACAGTTCTTTGCTCCTTAAGAGAAATTCTGCAATACGACCCGCTTTTGACACAAATGTCGCGACCATCTTTTTCGAAACACTTCGAGAACGGATGACTTCTGTTGGCTTTTCTTCACCTTGGAACACCCAAACAGCCAACTGTCGTTTATTTTCTGGTTCATAACAGTAAATCCACGATTCATCACCACTAACAATGCAGTACACATTTCTTGAGTTTCCGGAATTGAAACGGTCAAGCGTTTGTTGACACCAATTAACCCTGGCTGCTTTCTGCTTTTCAGTCAACAGGTGGGGTATCCAACTAGAAACTAATTTTCTTACTCCTAATTCTTGATGTAAAATTTTTTGATTTGAGCTCTTTGAGATCTTCAAGGACGCCTCAATCTCGCGATATGTCACATGTCTATCTTCAATGATGAGTTTGCGCACAGCATCGACGTTTTCCTGGGTGACTGCCGTTTTTGGTGCACCCACCCTGGGATCGTCGCTAAGACTCACCCGTCCTCGTTTGAATTCTCCATACCAACGGGAAATTGTCGACTGATGTGGCGCTTCGTTGCCGGAAACAGACAGTAACCCAGCAAGGCATTCTTGTTGCGACAATTGTCTTTGATAGTTGTAATAAATTATGGCTCGAAAATGTTCTCGGTTGAGTTCGATTTTTCTAATGACTTGGTGACACTTAAAAATTCACTGCACGTATTGTTGTGCTACTTTGAATTTAAGTTTACTAAAGAGTGAGGTTAAGATTCAGTACTGACGTTCGATCCGCGCGGCCTACTATGTTTCTATAAGCAAAACTTAAGAGACATCCCTCGTACATACCTACATATCGGCTCTCATACATTATAAAATGTTTTACTAATGTTATCAGGAATTCGCGTCTTTATTTTCCGTTTGATTTTTCATCATTTTCACAAAAAATCAACTGCCGTCCGTCGTGGGTCTTGAGCGTTGTAATAACTTTTGGATAACCATAAAACTGCACTGTTATTGCTACTAAACTTTACGATGTAGCATCTTGCCTAACCTGGATATCCTCAAAAATAATGGTTTACGGAAGTTAACTTCAAGTTTACATTTGAGTATTGAGTGAACAGTTGAGTGTATTACCGTTTTCTCTGTTGGAACGGGATTATAGTGAGGTTTCAAAATATATTTAAGATTGTGCAGACAACTTAGTTGTTTTAAGAACATTGTATGTTTTTTCATCTACTGTTAGACGTGGCGATAACTTTATATTCGAGGGAGAAGTTTTACAACTGTTTTTTTAAATCATGCTTGTTGGATGCCCCTTAATATGTATTAGGAGGTTGCCAGGCTGTATCCCGGTGTCTCATTTTTTTTAGCAAACTTTGAAGAATTGTTTTTCTGCTCCATTCTGAACAAAAAATACATTTAAGAACTCTTCTCTAAAGCTGAGCGTTTTCGGGTTATAACCGATGAGAAGTCGGAAAAAATCTTGAAAATGCTCATTTTCAATGCTAAAAAATACGTAGAACGTCTCGGGATGGGTCAACATTAAAATGGAATAAAACAAGCTGTGTCTGTATTAACGGGATTCAACCGATAACCGAGAAAAAGCGGGATTTTCGTACAGTCTCACACTTCAGCCGGACGAGGCTATAATCTGACTTGTCTAACGAGTCTTTTAACTTGATAGCTTTCCGCTGACTAAACAGATTTTTACTTTAGCAGTCCTTTATGATCGTCCTACAATACGTTTCCTCCATAGTTAGGTTTTGGCGGATGCAAAAATGGACTTTTGACCTTCGGTGTACCATTCACTGGCCTGATATTGCCCCCATTGACCGCTATCAAAGTTGTTGTGGTGACTTCGGATGTGCACGACTCCCTCTTACGGTAGATGTTGGTGGGCTGACTGTACAATCTGTTGCAAAATAAACATTGGTTAGAATTACAGATGATATCTAGTGTCTTGGAAGTGGTGTGTAAAGGGGTGATGTGGTTTGGGTATAACTTAAAACTATAAGACCGGAAACATCTATTTATATAAATTCAGGAAGATTACAAGAATTGTGTATTTTTTTTCACATACCCCTCGTAGCTTACTTTAGTATTTAGTAGAAACTTAATGTGCTGTATGCACATTTTATTAAAAAAAAATCGCAATAATTTAGGAAATTCCAAGTCAACTCGAGGGCGTCAATTTCTGAAAACGAGGGAGTGTATCACTGATAGAAAGAGGGCGTCATTCTATTAACCTTTGCGATGGAACATTGAATGTTATGAAAAACCTAGACATTATTGGTTTGCTGCAAAGAGATACAATCATCGACTTATTTCATGGAGGTCAAAACAGACGTCAGATGCTGGTTATTACGCCCTCGTTTTAAAAAGTTGCCAGAGGAGATTTGAGATTGGATTTTTTTTTCGATTTCATCACTTCAATATCCTGTATCTCGTGAGAGGGTAACTTTTCTAATTATTTTTGCCCTTAAAATATCCGAACAACCTTGAATGGCACTGAATATCCACAATTTATTATTAGCTAATATTTAGATGTATATTATCACATCACCCCTTTGAAAAATCTATAATATCGAATATCTTAATTTTACCTCAGTTCGTGCCTCATGCAGTTAGAGTATTGTCTTTTAACCCTTGCCTCGAAAAATTCACATTCACAATGCTTCCCAACCTAACAAAATTGGGTGTTTTATTATCATAACTCTGAATACACTTTATTATTATCAAACACCAAATTGACACTCCAGTGGTAGGCCAAAAATCTGACGATCTCCACTTAATAATGGTTTGCCAAGATGACGGAAAACCCTTACGTTACCAGACCATAACTGTTCGACGTTCTGCGCAACGCACAGATAGATGTCGCACCACCAAAACGGTGGACTCATCTAGCAGCCGGAATGCCTAGTACTTACAGAGCAGACAATGTTTTTTTATGCACACGTGCATAAATAGACACAATTCCGGCTGCTAAACGGTTTTGGTGGTGCGGTATCTATCTGTGCATTGAGCAGAACGTCCAGCAGTTATGGACCCGTCTTCTAGGCGCTTTCAGACATCTTTTATCTTACGGGATGATGATGAAGATCAACTTGGTAAACAAGTGGTAGGTGGAAACCGTCAGATTTTTCTCCTGCCTCCGCACAGTATTTTGAGTTTTTCAAACGACCACTTGTTTGCTTTCCGTTAAGCTGTCTCCAAGACTACTAGACCTATACTGCACTGATAAGTTGCTAATGAGCACGAAACAGCGTTGTCTCTGGTTGGTCGTGGTTACAGAGACAGAAAGCAACCACGTCTATTTTAGTCACCAAATTGACACACAAATTAATAAAGTTACGATTAGGATTTTAAACAATGTTTCAATAATGTACCTTCTGAAACTTATCTTGAAGTTTTCATGTTCATAGGACTCGATTGTTTGTGTGAATCAAAGAACACGTATGTTTCAATTTCTTTTACTTCCTACGCCTCTGGACGAGAAAGTATTGTAATTGCGAAAAATTTTGAAAATGAGATATTGTATTTTTTGGATTTTTTTTTATATTCCAACTACCACGAAGGCCTAAGGCCTAAGCACCCATTGGGTACCGTGGGGCTATGGGGGATACATGGGAAAGGGGGGACGCCACACGGACTCTGGCGAGGGAACACGTGTGCATGCAACATGCACACATTCTGGCTCCGCCTACGAGAGCCGCCGGGTGGTACCTCCGCGTTCGACAGTCAAAGACCATCTACCAACTACGAACAATCACAACATCCATAGCCAAAAAAAAAATTTCTCCTGGGACGGGACTCGAACCCGCACAGCGCACGGCGACTGATCAGGAGACCGAAGAGTCTACTACTGCGGCCACCGCTGCTGCCTATATTATATGACATGTACATGACGAAAAACCAACTTTTCCGCCGGTCTGTCTATCTGTCTGTCGGTCTGTTTGTCTGTCGGTCTATTTGTCTGTCGGTCTGTCTATCGGTCAGTCTGTCGGCCTCTCTGTCGGTATGTATGTTGGTCTGTTTGTATGTCTGTCGGTATGTCTGTCGGTCTGTCTGTCGGTTTATTTATCAGTGTATCTGTCGGTCTGTCGGTTTGTTTGTCTGTCTGTACGCTAATCCTTGGCCCGTCTATAATTTGAGAAGTACCACTTGGATTTTGATGAATCTTTCAAATAAGGTTGCTACTATGCCAAGGACAAAAAAGCTCTGTAGTACTCTATGCACGTATTAGATTTCCTCGTACATTTGCCTTTAAAACATAGAATGGCAGAGAAATGGGTTCGATCCGCGTTCTCCTGCTATGTAAGCTCACCGCCCGGCGAACTGATCCGGCAGCGCAAAAAACATATACAGAGACCATGCACGAAATGAACGATATCTCGCTGCAGCAATGCTGCGCAGATGTAGAAAGGGATACCGTTGCCAGCTGGACAGTAACTACAGGTATGGCGTGCCAAGAATGTCTATGATCTAATTGTATGGGCCTGTTTGACTGACTTAATCCATTTAATTTCTCTGTTGTATATGTTCGTGAATGACTTTTTTCTCAGCGGATTTTCAATGCGTTGAACTTTTATGAGCTGATGGCGGCGTTGCATAGGAAATGAACCTACTTGACGCCATTTTTTATTGGATGACGATTCGGGCACCACCATGGCCTGTTTCAGGTACAATGTGGTTCGGTTTGGCCAGACAATGGAGTCCAATTTTCCAGTTGGAGTTCCCCTAAGCTATAGTGGTTCCAAAATAATGCTGGGAAAACATTCCTAGAAACGTTGACGTAGGTAATAGTAAACCTGTTTTCGTATCGGCATACATCCAAGAGATTCATAAAAAAATATAAAACATATATGGTTGATAAATAGACTAGTATAGATGTCTCTTGAGAATATTACCAAATACCTACCTTCCGCTAGCAACAAAGTGATACTGTGTTATTGAAGGTTGAAGTTGAAGATTCTTCCAACCAAATTTTTCATTAGGCAGGTTATTAATCTTCTACGAATTGTTTGAATAGACTATCATATGAATTTACACAAAAAATGTCAGGCAGGGTTGAATTGCATGATATCATACGCTAGTGGAAAAGTCACGCGGCCGTCTTATGTTTCTTACAACAGGCAGATCTGAATTAGTTCAGAAGTAATTCCGAATCAGAGTAGAGTATATGTAAGTACAATCCAGAATTACTTCCGAACTATTATGTTGAAACATAGAATTGAATGGCCTGTTGTCATAAGCATAACAAATCGAAATAATATTCAAAATTGTCAAGTATCCGTATGCTAGACGTGAAACTTAGATTATTTATTGTTATTTAACGTACTGTAAATCTCTTTAAAAATTGGAAAAACGACGTGGCAGATTTAACAAGAGCTGAGTAGCTTTGAGAAATATCTAAAAGGAATAGTACAGAGTTTTGAGTTTTTTTGAGCTGGAAAAAATGCATCATTTTGACTTTAGAGAAGGTATGTTCTGCTACAGTAGATGAATATTAACAACACTAAGATATTAATTGACTTGAAATAAAAATAATACTCAAGATTAATATTACTAATAATTGAAGCTCATTAAAATTATCAACACTTGACTACGGAATTTCCCTTATAATCAACTCAAAATCTTCATCCTTATTAGAATCTTTTCCGAAGTAATTTTCATCGTTCCTCATTTTTTTGAATGAGTAATAGACGACACAATAAGCAGTTAATATTTAGGTTTGATATATCATAAGATTTAAAAGTCAGAAAAGGCACAAAATCCAGCTTCCCAACTGTAAGCAGCTCATCGGCGCGATTTATACTGTAAACGCGCATGCGCTATCAAATTAGCACCAGTTCAGATCTGGAATTTCGATCTGCGCATGCTCAGTACAGTTGACCAATTCAATAGTTTGTTGGAACATAGCTCTTGACATATGACATGTGGTCCTGACTTTTTGAAAGGACTTATTTGTTGAGCGTATAGAGGCTTGATAAACAGATTATTAGCTACACTAGTTGGACTTTTAGAGGATCTTGACAACCGGTGTAAGGAAGGACCCGTATTATCACGGAGCGGGTTTCTCTTTTTTTGTAATTACTCTTTACTATACATTGTTCCGAAATTCCTCTGTATTATTCTGGGAAACCCATAGTTAAATAGGAGTCACGCTCTACACAACCGTATGAAGGTTGATGTACTTGTTAATGCCGTTTTAGTTCAAAAAACTTATTCAAGATAGTCTCAAGGGATCAGAGAACCCTACCCCATTCTCACCTTTTCTTAGAATACCAGAATCATACAAGCAAATTAATTTACTCAATATAATGGGTAAGATTGCCGAAAAACTTAAACGAATCATGCATAGTATCAGTAAAATCATCACAGAATATCAGCATGGCTTCTCTGAATAGGTAAAGTCATTACAGATACACTTGGACGACATTACGTATCAGCGGTTACTGCGGACCTCTCAAAAGCCTTTAAATACGGACATCCCTAGCAGTCAAACAAAATTACGAGTATAGAAAACTATTTGCTCATCCGACAAATACGCGGTAAAACATGGCAAAACAAAAATATACCATCAACGCTACGGAGTGCCATAGGGATCTATCCTTGGACCCTACCTGTGGAACCTATACATTGTTGATATGCCGGTAGAAAACATTGCAGGACAGATGATGTTACAATACGAGTACGCAGATGACTTTTGCATGCTAAATCAATCCAAACAGCAAAATAACATCATGCGAGCCAAGAGAGCAATGGAAGAAATATTTGAGTACTATCATCGGAGGGGGCTTACTTGTAATAAGCAGAAAACCGAGTGTATTTTATTTGGACGAGCACGAATGTATCTCAAACAGATCAAGTTTGTTGGGAATGGGGAGTGAACAGATGTAACCCTGTCCTTGATCAAATGCGATTCCTTGGCCTCGATCTTGATAAAACAGTAAGCATAAAATGCCTCATTAAATAAATAATTCTTAATGCTAATCCCAATTATCGGCTTCTACTCGAATGTGTCTAGAGAAGTGAAATTGAAAATGATTGATGCTTGTATCTACCCGGTACTAACATACGGACTCACTGCTGTGTTCCCAAGCACAAATAAAAGTGACATTCTCAAATTAGAGAGGTACCTTAAGAAGATATATAACAGAGCTGGGCAGTTCCCTTACTGCATTCCAGATGACATACTTTATGAGATGCTACAAAGGGACATTGTGGCAATACGCTTAGCTCAGACGCACAAGAAATTTCCCAAAAACCTGTGCACTATACCTCGTAATACTCGTACTTAGTAAAAATGTTCTATCCTACGTCCCCTATCTTCCTCCTCGTATTTCACCTCTTTCCTAAAAGGCACATATTTTGAATGTATAAAGAAGCAATTTGTTTTTTATGCAGAAACCATATATGTATAGAAATAGAAAATAAAGGTTTGAAATTGATTTGATTGACAACCGTTTCAAGCATTTGTCGTGGAAATTCACAACCATCATAATTTTCATGAGAAAAGTGAGAGTTAAAGTCCCTAGTACTTTTGCACAACCGTGAAATAAAATAATTATAATTTAATAAAATAAATGATGACACTTGAACAATATATAAAAACATTTGAAAACTATATCCAAATCAAGAAAACGATTTTGCACATGCTAATGTGCGTGTACAAAAACGGATCTCAATCTATTTTTGAGAAATGTAACGTGAACTGTCAAGGACGGACAAGTTCAAACAACCAGTATTATGGAAACGAAGCAGTTCCAGATCCATATTTATATGAATACTTTTTCACACTTTAGCGACCAAATCTACCCTTGAATTTGACTAACAGCGACATTCAGTTACTTCCTGTATATCAGTGCGTATACAACGTCCATGAAATATAGATAGTGGTTCATTTATGAATAATGCATGTGACATAACAGCATGTATGCATTTCTGATGCGGTGCGGAAAACTTTAGACGTGATGCTGGATAAATTTATTCAAAGCAATGTTCAAAGTAAATAGAAGTACGGCGACTAGCTAGGATACGGTATGGATTTCGGAGTTATGGACATCTGTTACAACTCTTGAGCTTACTGTTTTTAACATATGGAGCGTTAGTAGAGTACATGATACATAATTTACAATGTAGAATATCATACTCTGATGTTAAATAAACTATGTACTTTGTAGTATTTTATGTAATAGAAGTGTTGAGACAACAAATCCATGTCTATAGTGGAGAATATAATGTCTTCCGAATTTCACTTTCCTACCACTGGGATCGCGGAAACGGTAAGTTACGAGGCCAGTTAAATGATGATAATGTGCGCATTTAGGTAACTAAGAAAACGGAATTTATAGTAGTTTGGTAAATATAAGTACTTCCTGAGATACACAAAAGAAATCCTTCCAAATTCATTTTTATCCTTAACCCACTTTATTAGCGTATTAGCATTGACACTTTTTCTTCCCTAAAAGATACCATAATTTGAGTTTCATAGTTGGCTCTGAAAATGACAAATTATGACACGTCGGATTAAATCACCAATCCTTCAGTTTTTGAGAGAAATATTGAAAGAAAATCCAGAGGATGCCAGTCCATATCTACTACGTATATAATAAACATTATTTTAGCATGATGGACGCTCTACATGATACCTCAGGCGCAGATGAATAGTATTTGAATGCAAGATGTGTGAATCGGCTTAAATATGGTGGATATGAAATGTGTTTAGGAAGCTGCAATATCGTCAAGGCTATTACATAATCGAAGATATCTCTATCAGTCACTTAAAATAATACTGTTTTCAATGTTTTTAGTAAATAAACAAATGTTACGAAAAACTTTAAGCATTAGGTTGTTCCTTATTCGATGAGCTTAAACCAACTATAGGGATATTAGGTACTTTTTTAATAGATACTTGAAGTTTTATAATATCAATTCATGACACGATGTGTATAATATCACATAATCAAAATTGGAAATAGGGATTTTTCACCTACGCACAGTTCATAAAATGTGAAGGAATGGTTGGCTGATGATATGAAACAAATCTTCGTCCATACCGCAGACAGGCGTATCGGACAAAAAATCAAATTCAAGTTAACGGATTCAAATCAACAAGGTATAACATATCTTCAATCCCGCAAAGAGGTGTGACTCTAAGTAGTTCGCTCATAGAAATATCAGCATAAAACTAAACGTCGTATCTCTCAGAAGTGAAATACAATACCCCGCAAGTAGGCGTAAATGAAGATACACCTACATGAGGTGTCAATTTTTAGCTACTCTCTCAATAGTAACTAACATATTATGTCCTTTGGTTTACAGAACACGTACTACTATATCAAATTAATGCATGTCGTTCAAACAATGAAATAGAGATGTCTCTAGGAGTCATCTTATATTATTTTTGTTACAAACGAATTTTTGTAGAAATCTTGTGAAATTCTTATCTGAAGAACTAAAAGTATTCGAGTTCGACTTTGTTTATCTGGATGAATCGTTTCAAGTCCACAACAAACAGTAAGCTGGTGCGTGATAAATACAGGGTCCGGCACAAAGGACGGATGTTCTTGAAATGGCTAGGACTCTCCGCCTATTTGGGTGAGAGCGCCGTTCGACTCGGACGTTCCTAGCATTTTTCAGTAGACATTATAGGGCAGTGGGCGGTTAAGCACCGCGTTTTCGCGTACGAAAGTTTTGTCCGACATAATGAATATATCACCGCTGTACAGCGTGAGTTTCGTCTCCACTTCAATATTTATCGGAATCGAGCTGCTCCTTCTCGAAACGCCATCCTTCGTTGGGAGTCACTTCATTTTGTTCGTGGGTGATGAAGCTCACTTTTATCTTAATGGCATGATTAATCAGCAGAATTGCGGTTATTGGGCTAAAGAAAATCTGCGACAGTCACATGAAGGACCACTTCACACCCCAAAAATGACGGTTTGGTGCGCTGTATCGCAAACTTGAATTGTCGGTGCTTCTTCGAAGACGGTAATGGCAATGCAGATACCGTGAACTCGGAGCGCTATGTCGAAATGATCACCTGAATTATGACGATGACGTGTTCCATTCCGACGTGAGTGGTTCCAGCAGGATGGGCGACCGCCCACACAGCCCGAGCAACGATGAATGTTATTCGCCCTCTCTTCCGTGGTCGCCTTATTTCCAGGTTTGGTGATGTTCATTGGCCTCCTTGGTCCCCAGATTTATCCATCTGCGATTTTTTCCTAAGGGGTGTGTATAGGAGCACAACCCACGAACTCTGGACGAGTTGAATTAGACGATTCGCGTGGAAGTCACCCAAGTTGAGAGAACGATGTTATAGAGAGTCTACGCGCAAGAGCGCCTCCAGCAATGCACCGTCAAAACGGTCATCACATGACTGATGTGATTTTCCACACTTAATTGTGGCAAACGCTATTTTATTGGGAACTCGATTCCATCGATAAATTTGTTTTTGAGTAAAAATTACCGATTTTGTGATTTTTTAAAAACCGTCCGACCCTGAATTTTTTATTTAAATTTAATGAATTAATAGAAAATGAATGTTTCCAATATTTTGAAAAAAGAGCTGTCTCCTCTGAATAGCGAACTTCGAAAAATCACAAATGTGCCAGGGCGATAAGCCAGCCATCACTCTACCAGAACATCAACGTTTTTATTATTCACTACCTCACGAGCACACGTCATAAATATTTTTGTTTGAAGCCATCCTCTTACTTCTGTTCTGTGTTATCCGTGAATTGCCTTGAGTATCATTTACAACTGAGAATAAAGTGTTTTTTTACTTAATATGATTTTATTTCGGCGTATCTAAACCTAGACTATTGTAACTGTCAAGATTACCGCTAAGATTCATATCCGAAAAAAAAAATCAAAAATATGTTTAGCTGAGAATATGATCCTCATTTTCTCTACATACTTCTTAGAGAATGATGAACACACTTTTTAGCTATATTATTGGAAGAAATCATGATCATGTTGACTAAAGTATGAAAGATATATGGAATCAAATAACTCTGATATTAATTTTGCTTCTACTGAAAATTTGTATGAAATCAGTTACGCCTGTTTGCAGTATGGACGACGAAATGAGTATGTGATAATTTCATAGCCTACTTAGACAATTCAGTTTTTTTTTAATAACTAAGATTTTATAATACGAAGGTATGACGTATTATACACTTTTTGAATCAGAATTGAAACTATCCACCTGTGCAAAAAAATAGTATGCCATCTGTAAGGAAAAAGTAAGTTGATGAGTTGAAGACGCCAAAATGGCATATTCAAATATTGATTACGCCAACCTGTAGAGGAGAAAAAGTGACAGTATTACCCTACTTTTTATTATTAAACCCATCTCAAATAAAGTTACGAAAAAATAAATAAACGGATTTAGAAAAATTCGGTTTCTCTCGTCTATCTCCGGAAATACTACAGAAATTTGTGACATTTACTTTGTCAACATTTACCGTTTCCCAGTCGAAGACCCAGTATATTAGTTAACCCGTTAAATTTCATCTGGCATCTAAGGGGTTTGGTTGAACTTTTAAACAATTCAAAAATCTTAAAAATCTTTTCAAATTACTAGAAAATTGTCCATATACTAGATTAAACTTCTCAAAGCATGCGGAGAATTTTTATACACATTTTGTAACATGGAACAGAAGTTGATTTACCTAACATTATATTTTCAAAGACATTCAACAACTATTATACTATACGATTTTTTATGTATTACCGTATACTTTCAGTCCTTGACCTAGGCGACCAGTCTTTACTTCTGCTTCCACATCTGAGACTCCTTGATCCTAACGTTCTTCGAGTCTTCCAAGTTTCAAAATGGTGCCTCACCGTATTTTGCACCTCTGCGTTCAGAAAACAGTAGAATAGCGCCACTGTGAAACCCTGAAAGAAAATAGTTATTTATATACTTAGATCGTAAAGCGGGCATTTATGACCCGCGACGCGAAATTAATACGCCAAAGGACATATACGCTTATGACTCCTAAAGTTTTTTACCTATTCAGAATTTTATCAACAGTCCTTGACCTAAAAAGTGGCAAAACATACAAAGTAGATATACCTTGCCGCCCGGTCTTAAATTAAAATAATATTTGTTTTCGTAAACCGAAGCAGCCGCGTAGGCTGAAGCGTAAATACCGTTTTGTACCGCACAACGTTAGCACACCTGGGAAAAACCTTCTCAGGCTCTCTCAGACTACTCCATCATCTTGAAGTCCCAGAAACGAAGGAGCGATCGTACCGGCCAGTTCTGGATGTACGAAGTCCGACACGGTTAGGATGAGATGTGGAAGTCTGGTGGATCTATCTGGGAGGCTTATTACGCGGCGGTATCATGGAGGAGAGGTATGAGGAGCCAGGCTCGTTGACATAGCTCGTCGAAGAGAGTGAGATTGCCGACGGCCCGTCGGTATGAGAGTGTTCCGAGACTGTCCGTTAGAGAAGTGTCAATGATCAGTCGGACAGTCCTTTTGTAAACAACCTCAAGTACAGACAACGTCGTTGGGGCGGCAGCACCACAAACATGTGAGCAGTTCTCGAGACTAGGTTTTATCTGGGTCTTATAGAGAGTGATGAGGTGACCTCTGGCCAACCGAAATGAATGGCTCTTTGGTAGAACTCGGCCATCTATAAAAACTGGATCAGCGCTAGGACGGTTCTTGTTCGTTTTAGAAGCATTAAACAGTACCTTACAAAATAGTCTAGCTATTTTCCAGAAACTGTCGCGATTGACAAGATGTGTTCGTGCCAGATCAAATCGTCGGTGATCTGGACTCCGACCAGCCAAATTGAACGACTCCTTGATAGAACACTCGGCTATCCATCGATGAGCGTTAGGGTGTTTGTAGATATTCGATTTACAATGACGTGTTTTGGTAGTATTGAACTGTACCAAATTGTTGCATCCTCACGAGCACACGTCATAAATATTTTTGTTTGAAGCCATCCTCTTACTTCTGTTCTGTGTTATCCGTGAATTGCCTTGAGTATCATTTACAACTGAGAATAAAGTGTTTTTTTACTTAATATGATTTTATTTCGACTCCTTGATAGAACACTCGGCTATCCATCGATGAGCGTTATTGTGTTTGTAGATATTCGATTTACAATGACGTGTTTTGGTAGTATTGAACTGTACCAAATTGTTGCATCCCCAAGCAGTGATAACCACCAGATCTCTCGCCAGAGAGGAGGACGCTGCTAGTCTTCTTATTTTCAGTTCACTGGCAGAGATCGGCTTGGAAGTTCCTGTATGTAGAGGTTATGAATTGGATTGAACATTCAGGATATTAGGTTGGTATGTAATAGAAACAATGTTGGAGCCGAGACCGATGGAAACAGTCGAGTTGACATTATCGGATGAAGAGGAGAACCCCAAGTTACGACGGATATTCTGCGGACATCTACATAGTTCCTTTGGAAGACCATAGGATGGAAGTCTGCATAAGAGGGCAGCATGTCATGGCTGATTGACAGCTTTGTTGATATCAAGAGCTACGACATGAGCATCACCGCATGACTGAATGAGCTTGCTTCACTGTTGTGTAACGTAAGCTAGGAGGTCTTCCGTTGATCGCTGGTGCCAGAACCCGTACTGCCTATCGCTAATCAAGCCATGATATTCGAGATACTCCTGTAGCTCCACACTCTTGCATTTCTCCATCAACTTACTATCATAGAAAGCAGAGCTATAGGTTTGTAGATCCTTTTTTTAGGACAGGCTGGAGATGAGTAGAATTCCAATTATCTGGGATTCGTCGATAACGGGTGCGAAAGAATTGCATATTTCTTCAGTACAATAGCAGGAATCCGATCAGTCATTCCGATCTTTAACATTTCTTACATATTTTCCCGCCATACCAGATTGACACATACAGGTACATTTTTAAATCTCTGTAGCGATACCAAAAGCAGTCTACATTACTCAATGCTACGCAGTGCTGTTTATTGTGGAAAATCGAACCACTTATGAAGTTAATTTCATAGCACTCTGTTCAAGGTAACAATTTGTGTAACAGACATTTGTTATTTTTATTTAAATTCTAGAGACATTAATAGAACAAAAGTAAAGAATAGGTAGATCTAGATATGTTTTCAAGTTGGCAAGTCGAAATCGGTGATGAAATTTATACACGAACTTTATTGTAACACCCAGTATAGGGTGATAGGTCACAGTCAGCTAGTGTGTCAATTTGTTTATGTGTTGTCAAATTGCAGGCAAGGTACATTGTCATTTAGTTGTCAGATAGTAGGTTGGGGACGGGGCTTATTTACAAGAAAACAGTTACATTAATATTCTTCTTGATCCCATTTAGTTTCTTTTGTACAACCCGGTAAAATTTTGACGTCGATAGAGGCATCGCCATTTCGTTAATAAGCGCTGTTGTGATTACGAGATACAGTTAACCCGTAGTTCTGGAAAGGAAGAACTTTGAAGGTTCCGGTACGTTTCGCAAAAGTTTTCGCAGGAGCTTGTTTCGACAACAGTCAGGTGGTGAAGAAAATTAGGGTTGGACGTATCCCTAGAACTTTCCTTCGACGAACATAAAATTAAGTGCCGGTCTTGTATAGAAGATACTTTTATGGTGTAGAGCAATTTGGGACCAGGTCAAACTAAAAAGAAATACTTTTACGAAATAAGACAGCACAAGGTGCCATCTATTACCAGAATTGACCATTCCGAGAGTGAATAGCAGCTGTCATTTGGAACTATAGAGATCATAATTCGCGTTTGATAGCTCAGACAGCACTGTGACCGATAGAGGCTGACGATTTTGTCGGTATAGTACAAGGGGTCTACTTGCAAAGTGAAACTCTGTTACAGTTCCTGTTATACGTTCTGGCTGTGGTAGATTCTGGTATATGGCGCTTTGTTTTGTCTTACTTCGATAGATTTCATACATCAGATAGAGGATAGTTGCAATGCTTTCGGAGGTTGTCCTACTTGAGACCAGGCCTAGACCATGCTAATGAGCTGCCAAATAGAACGAAACAGCTCTCCATGATTGGCCGTCTGTGGTCGGATGACTAAAAACTATATAACTAAACCTTTTACTTCTACGCCACCGGCGAGAAAGTCTTGTGAACTTCGAAAATGGGAACGTTATCACGAAAAATCATGTTGCTAATTTCTGTCGCTGTCAGTCTGTTCGCTGTCTGTTGGTTCCACTATAGCTTGGATATCGGTCTAGTGGCGGCGGAGCTAGGGACAAAAAAAAATCGCTAATACTTCGCTCTGATGCTCCTGATCAGGGGCAGGTTGTGAATGTTGTATCGTTCGTGTTAGTCGAAGACATGTTGTTATTTGGAAATTTGTGATTTATGTAGTTTAGCTGCGGATGGTCCTATACGAATTCAGCAACGCCGATGGTGTCCAATACGCAGCGTTATCCACACCAAGTGCAGTCAGAGCCAATGATTTCAAAATATGACGTTCTATAGGTATTCGCTACGAAAATCAAATCATATTAACAAGTTCTCTACCAGTCTACAAATACGTCTTTTCCAACACATTAACGAAAAAAAAAACAGGATAAGCTCATCATATTTGGAAATTGGATATGAAAACTCTATTTTTTCTATTAAAATGAAATTTTGTCTATGCGGCAAGTAACTCATTTGATGGTAGATATAGCAAATATGAATGTTTGTCAATAACACCATTGCATATTGGATAAAGCTTCTGTTAGTTATTTAGTTAATGTATGACATCTCAAAGAAATTATTACTTACTACAAACATATTTTGCTACCTATTTTCATCGGATCCTTTTTTACAATCACAATTCTTGATTTCACTAGAACTGAAGGCAGTCCTTCGGCTTAGAAACACGTAATCCGCCTTTGCGTTGTCGTTGTCAGGAACCTCAATAAATCTTCCTGACCTACGCATAATTAGTGGGCAGAAGGGCGTCCTTATCCTCAGATAAGGCAGGCAATCATGGATATCGAAATAATTAATCCTTGCACGAGCCAACATTATTGGACTCCGTCCTTCTAGTATCTTGATATAACCCCAATTCCAGACCCTGAAACAATTCTCACATTCGTTACCCGCACGGGTATTACGTATATCTTGAAAAGTGACAGTATGCCGATTTTTTTTGACATTATGTAGGTTTTTCTACAAGATGTTAACTTAGCACTAGCTGATGGACACGTTGTGAACTCGCTTCATAGTTGTACGTGTTGTCTAAACGTCATGAGGCTTCAGTTATCAATGTTTGGCTCTGATGTGCTGTAAAATCTGCTTCAGAGATGGCAAAACTCGAGGTCTGAGCTGTAAGTTATATGTGTTGATGATAATTCCATACCATTCTTGTCTCAAATACACTTACTTGAGATTCAATGCTAGAGATTAGTTGCGCATTCACTTTTTCTTATCCATTCTGGAAATTACATATGCAAATTTGATGAATTCAAAAATGAGAGAGAAAAGAAATAAGTATATATATTCACTGTAAACTGTCGAATTACATGTCATATATATATATATATACAGGGTGACTTTGAAGTTGAGTCATTAATTTTCAGATAATGATTGTAGAAGGAAGATAATCCAAATTATGTGTGTAAAAATAAAAAAAAAATTAAAATGATAATGTTACCTTGTTTTATAAAGTATCCTCCCGACAAGTATTTCAGTGCGGACCTGTATTTGATCGTGCGGTCTTGGAGCACCGGCATGCCCTCCCCTGTGAGGTATTAAGTCACCTGATTCACGAGCCCTTTGTACTACATTAACAAAGGCACGAGGGGTTGGTTGCACTCGATTGGGAAACCGATTCGCACAAATCCGTGATGCCGCGGCAGCATTTTGTAACGACTCCCCCCCCGTAAATAATAATCATGTCCACAAGTTCAGCATTTTCGTAAACATGTGCCATTTTTTATTTCGTTTGAGAAACGCAACAAACACCACTATTCACATCGTGATAAACGTTTCAAATTCTTTCGCTTTTTTGTTTCCGATGCGATGAACCGATAAGGCGGATTATATCCGTTGTTGCCAAACACGAGCACATAATATTATTATTGAGACAGGGCGCTACTCAAACTTCTAAAGGGCTATAACTTGGTTACTTTAATTTTACCAGAAAAATGTTAAAGGAAAAAAACATTTCTTTTGATCAGATCTACTCACTGTTAAAATAAATGACTCAACTTCGAAGTCACCCTGTATATATATGCTAACACTAATTGCACAACACAACGCGGGCGCGGTGGTGATTTCCCGAAATTCTACTCAAAGTTTTTCGTAATTTATAACCTGTCTTCAGAAAGGACAACATATAAATAACCCGTCGAGCACAGCTAATAGATACACTTCATTGACAGCATATTCAGTAATGATTATCTCACACAGCAAATATCACTGATTTTATACAGACCCATACACATAATTTCATCCAGATGCGATATTGCTATTCAGCCAACTTTCTTCTCAGAGATGAAAACTACAGATAACTCGGCTTCACAAAACATATGCAGCCAACAATGCGTATAGTTGAGCTATTCCTCCATACGGATCACAACGATCCAGTGAGCAAATGTGGAATGACTGTTTGCACCCTGAAAACTACCTAGTCTGCAAAATGACATTTTATAGGTTTTTTTGACGTTTGATAGGTTTTTTTACATAATACCCGTGCCACAGTCCTGAAGCTACAGCAGCGCTTATAGGGTGGTCAAACGTTAAATTACAAGCTTTGATTTAACATGACCTGTTAGCATGGGCGCCCATACAGCCAAATTCAAGAGGGGCACATCGGTGGTCCCAGAATTCATGTTCAGCATTATTTCTGTCTCAACTTTGAAACTATTATTATTCAGCTGTTTACAAGATTTTATTTTAAGATTAAATAGTTCAATAAAATATAGGTACGCTTTATTTCGTCGGTCAATTGAACAGGCATACTTATTGTAACATGATTTGAGTTGGAGTACTGAAAAGGCAAATTTTCAAAACAATCATTTGGTTTCACTACACGTGACGATGAAATGAATGTCTAAGCGTTTCTAGGCCTCCCAAATTCAGCAATGTCATGCCTATAAGAATTTAGTTTGAAAGGTTTGATTCTTCAAACTGCTGATCTTAATTTAGAGTTCTTTTCACTTCCTTCATCCAAGTTCCCTCTTAACAGACCTTCCTTATGGAAGGTAGATCGCAACAACAACTCACGCTACAGCAACAACACGACCTCCTGGGACTAGACTTCTTGATACTCAAGTGAGGAATTTAATAGAGAACTCAATTGCGCATAAATGGTTGAATACATTATATATATATTTCGCAAAAATATACAAGCCAGCCTCTACGATCAGGTCCGACCAAATGAATTTTGATTCAAATCTGAATTCATCTACCATAGTATGTTCAAGATTATCTTAATAACCGTGGACCTATATGGAAACACCAAATACAAATATTAAATTCATGGGTGCCACAGTATCAAATCAATTCTCTAGATAAAATAAAGAAGATATTAGTCAGTCTTGTAAAATGAACAATAATCTCAACTCAATTTGACACCAATCATTCAAATAAAATATAGAAAAATTTGAAGTTATAATTAATTAATTAATAATTATTCGATCGAGAAATATATCAAAAATATAGTGAGGAGTTAAATGGCATCAGATACAAAAGGGTCAATAAGGTTTTTTCACTAACATTTTATTTTATTTTATTTATTATTTTGAGGTTTCAATTTGGTTAGTTTTATAGAATATGCCTGCATCTCATGATTTAATTTTGTTTACAATGCGAGTTGTGATCTTGTGTGCTTACGAATTTGCTTCAAAATGTCTACTTACTTACGCAATGAAGGGTTGTTGCGTAATATAATTCATTAGGTAAGGGATGTTGCCATCGCTTCCCAGAGTAGCACACGTGTCTGTCATAGGTATATAATTCATGTCTCCACAGTGTTATAAATGCTTGTTCCTCTAAAGAGCTTGTTGATATCGATGTTGATTATTAGTCATTACTCTTGCCTTTGATCACCTCTCAGGGCTTCAATGTAAAGCTATGTACAGATATGTAACAACGCCGCGAACTGAACCACGCGACGAACCGCAGCGCGCGCATTTTGACGAACAACATTGCAACGAACATCACCACAAACCGAACCACGTCGTGCACCACATCGCGCAACAAAATGACGATCCAATTTTGATGTTTGTCGTTCAGTGAAAAACATCATTTTTTTTTAATTATTGTAATTCAGGGTATGTTTTGCATCCCACAACAATTCCCCTGCTCTGTAATGCTCTAAAAGCAAAATAGTTTTCTCCTCCGACCATTAATTTTTTTCACGGGCTCTATCCATTTACTGATATGAGCGCGTGCTCGTCGTACCGATATCCCTGTCCAAACATGTACAACTTCGTCGCGAGCCTTTCCTTTGATGTTACGCTGAAAAACCGAAAGAGTCTGAAGCGGGCCGAACGGCGAGCTGTAACGCTTATCAGGTTCGCGACGGCATTTTTTTCACCGTCTATACTGGCGTGGCGCGGTTCGTCGCGTGGTTCGGTTCGCGGTGTTGTTACATATCTGTACATAGCTTTACATATCTGTGCATAGCTTAAGCGATCACGGGCGTACCGAGCTCAAATCGAAAGGGGGAACACTCTCAAAACATTTTTTGGTAGGAAGTTCTAGAAATCATATCTACATAACTATACTTGATATTTCTCTCTCTTTATATAGTCTTCCACAACGATTTGACAATTCTTATGGATATGAAAAACTACTAGGAACTCTTTCTTGAACCCTGTTGTAAAAGAAATTCTACAAAAGGATTTATATCCAAAATAAGGATCCTGTGAATGAGGATCTCAATACCTGTTGGAGATACAGCTTAGGTTAAATTAGGAAAAAGCTGCGTTCTTTGGGGCGTATTTACATGCCGTTGAGAAACTTCATGTCTTACTGGGGTATTTAGGAAAAACTAAAATTTGGCCAATTCGTTTTTAATTTAATTCTTCTAAAATTTATATTGGCACTTTTGAGGCACTACGTGATAATATCTTTGAATGGATATTTTATTCTAAGTATGCATTGCAAACAAACCCTTGATGTAACATTATGGAATTACTGATAGATGCATATTACATAGTTCATAATGGGGCAACATTTTATAGAATGGTGGTTAATCTAGTGATATTCAGATTAACGAATACATTTTCAACATTGTATCCATTTTATTTACAATAGGTGTTCGAATGGGTTGCCATTATTTTCTAGTCATAAATATGATCTTCTAACAGTAGCATTCTATAAATCACGTTACATTTCTGGTATACTCATACTTTCATTACACATTCTCGTAACTGCTGCTCAGCTTCAAAGGTATGCCGATAAACTTGGTTTTTGATAAAACCCGAAACAAACAAGTCTAGAGCAGCTAAATCCGGGAAACGCGCTGGCTAGGACACTTCACTGGAGGTTCCAATCCACTTTTCGGGAAATCGCTGAGAAAGATACACTTGCACTTGCCTAGAGTTATGTGCAGGAGCACCTTCTTATTGAAACCAGAAGCTATTAATCTGTGCCAAAGGTAAATTAAACGTAGTTGAATGCCATTACTTTTTTATAAATGGAGGAAATGGTGGTATGTTTCCTCTTCTTTTTATTAATAAATAAAATACGATAAATAAAATCAAACTGTCAGTCAATGCAAAACAGCTGTCTAGTGGCGTGCAAATTTAAGCGCTGGCTCAATTTTCATAAAAAAAGGTAAAGCAAAGGCAAAAAATGTATTAAAGTAATACACCCTCAAAAAGTAATCTCTTGTTCAAAAAAAAGTTATGGCAGTTCAAAAATCAAAATCATGGTCAATATAATGGAGTACGCTCTAGAGAAAGTGCCAATGTAGACACCTCCTCATATTTGAACACGAAAAATGCCAGTTAAAATCAAGTACACTCTAAGAATTCCAGTCAACAATAATCAATATATAAATATCTATAAAAGAGTTAATCAAAATGATATTTTACCTGTTTAAATCAGGATTTTTTCTCAAGAAAA